TTGGTCCGGTTCAGGGTGGGATGGTCTGGTTTGGTCTGGTTCAGGGTGTGATGGTCTGAATTGATCCGGTTCAGGATGTGTTTCCATTGATTCTGCCTCTCAGTGCATATCAGTCCAGGAGGTGACCCAGTGTCTGGGTGACTTCCTGTTCCTGGATGAGGAGACGTGGTCTTGGATCAGGAAGCCGTCAGAGTTCCTGAGCTGCTGCTGCTGCTGCTGCTCATCTTTACCCATAATCCTTCCCTGGTGGAGCGTCGTGGTCCGCCACGCCCTCCGACGCGCAAAGAAACCGCACTGCAGACAAAACACAGAAACCTTGTATGAAGTCTCTGAAGCAAATATCCAGAACTCATGAAACTGGAGTTCACAAAGAGAAAAAGATATCAGCAGAGAAACAGATTCACAAAGATCAATCGACAAGCTGATCGATCAGATGCAGGAAGGAAGGAAGGAAGGAAAGAAGCAGAGGAGAAGGAAGTGGGTCAACAGCTGGTCCTTACAGACGGACTCAGAGCTCCTGGTCCAGCCTCTCCCTCTCAGATGGCTGGCTCTTCATGTGGGCTTTCTGGGTCTTGGCCTGGTACGTTTCTCTGCTACCGGCTCTCACGAAGAACCCACATTGAACAGCAGGGGGCGACACAACGGCACTTTACCAAACCAGGAGGTGATGACGACGTTAGACATGAATCATTTTACAGTCACTTCTGTGGACTTTTGGTTGGCCGTAGATCCTGTAACCAGGACCCGACATCGACATTCAGAGGTTTGTCTCGGGATCAGTTTACCTTCCAGAGCAGCAGGCAGATCACAGCCAGCAGTAAAACTCCAGCCAGGACGGAGACCACGACGATCCACATGGGGGCTCTGGACCCCGGCTGCTGACCCGGGTCGGGATAGATGTGGACTTCAATCTGCAGAGGAAGAACACGGATTCAAGAGGGAACTCATGGATGTTAGAGGAGCGTTTAATCACCTCAAAATAAATAATCCTCTGAGTTACAGGCGTCTCTTTCTCAATGTAAGTCAATGGGAAGAAGTCGTTTTGGGCCTCATGACAGCACGTGACGGACCAGGAAGTTGTAATTCCACTGTTTGTAAATCTCTTCCAGGGGAACTGGGAACACTGAGAACCACAACAAGAAGAACTCTGGGTTCGGTACCTCTGAGCTGTGAGGCTCCATGTTGATGGTCGGTTTGTTCGTCTGCAGCTTCAGAGTCACCCGACCTCGAACCAACACACTGCGAGCATCTCTGTAGTCCTGAAACACACAAGAAGATCTGATATAGATACCGGAACAGGTAGAGGACAGAGTACCCGAACAGGTAGAGGACAGAGTACCCGAACAGGTAGAGAACAGAGTACCCGAACAGGTAGAGAACAGAGTACCCGAGCAGGTAGAGAACAGAGTACCCGAGCAGGCAGAGAACAGAGTACCCGAACAGGCAGAGAACAGAGTACCCGAACAGGCAGAGAACAGAGTACCCGAACAGGCAGAGAACAGAGTACCCGAGCAGGTAGAGAACAGAGTACCCAAACAGGTAGAGAACAGAGTACCCGAGCAAGTAGTGAACAGAGTACCGGAACAGGTAGAGAACAGAGTACCTGAACAGGTAGAGAACAGAGTACCTGAGCAGGTAGTACACAGAGTTCGTACCTCCATCATGGTGGAGTTCCACAGTCTGGCTCTGACAGTCAGAGTTGCTGAGTTCTTCATGTTGGTCAGCGGACAGACGAAGGTCACACATTTAGCTCCGTGAACACAGTCCTGCACACAAACACACATTTGTACTTTTATACCTGAGGGACCATAATTTACTGGATGTTTAGCCCCGCCCATCAAATCATCAATTGACCCAGAGTTTGTACCAGAATGTAGGACGTCTTCTTCTGGTGGAGGAGAGGTAGAGGTTTTTCTCTCGGCTCCTCCTTCTTCTCTTCCAGACTCCTCCTCTTTCTCTTCTCCTTTGACAGCTGAGCAAACAGGAACACAGTCAACACAAGTCATCTTCTTTCTCATTCTGGAGTTAGTGAATCTAAAACATGGACATGCAACAAACCAATGGATTCAAATAAATAAACAATGTTTTTTAAGGAGGACAAATATGAAGAACTGACTATAACACAGTTAAACCAGTCGTTGATGTGTGATGGTCTGGGTCTTTCCCTGTAGACCCGGATCCAGCGTCACACCTCAGTATGTAAACAAGCTTTAGGATGTTAACCGTCATTATTAAGAGATTCTTCTCTTCAGACCTTCTAACAGAGTCTGATATGAACCAGCGGGACCTCATGTTGCCATAGTTACCAGTAGGTTGAGGGGGTTGATGATGTCGCCCGGCGGAGCACAGCGAGCCTCTGACGAGTCGTTCACTCGGATCTCTGTAAGGTACAGCAACCACTTCCCATTGGACACCTCTGTCGGCCAATCAAACTCCACCTGCAGGTTGCCTAGGCGACCCAGCGGCTTCCCACTGATGTGCACCTATCAGAGGAGGTCGTGGGTCATCACCTGACCTGTTCACTCTTTATAAGTCAGACGAGTTTTAGACCAACCTGGAAGGTGAAGAGCAGCAAACTGCCGACGTCCTCCGTCTCCTTCACGGCCGACTCACCAATCACATGACCACCGAAGGAGACGGGACCCGGAGGAGTGATTCTGTCAACCAATGAGAGAGAGGAGTGATTCTGTCAACTAATGAGAGAGAGAGGAGCGATTCTGTCAACCAATGAGAGAGAGAGGAGTGATTCTGTCAACCAATGAGAGAGAGAGGTCATGAGCTCAGAGGTGAACATTAAATGTTCTTGACTGAGAGGAACTTACAGAGTGAGAGACGTCTGCAGAGAATACTCCACCAACATGGAGACGGAGACAGGAAACAGATCTGACTGCTCACTGAACCTGAAGACGCACAGGAACCACGACTCATTAGAATACCTTTAGACAGGTGTGTGTGTGTGTGTGTGTGTGTGTGTCTGTTTGTAGGTGTGTGTGTGTGTGTGTGTGTCCTACGTGAACAGCTGCAGCAGAGACTGAATCTCTCTGGTGTCTAAACTGATTTCAGACGGCTGAAATATTATCAACACCTGAACCTGAAATACAGAGAGAGACGGAGAATCAGATCCGTTAGAGTCTCAGTCAGAGCACTGAGGGCCAGACGATACCAGCTGGACTGTCAAAGACTGTCAGGACGTTGTGTACCTGCCGGTTGCTTTTGAACGGGTTCCCCAGCTCACACAGAAGAACAGCATCCTCAACAGAACACCCCATCACCGCCTGGATGTCACCCTGAAACACAAACAGGACTGGCTGTAGGAATCTCTGGTCCCAGGTCCTTCAGGGTCCATCAGGGTCAATCAGTCCAGTCCATCAGGGTCAGTCAGTCCAGTCCTTCAGGGTCTATCAGGGTCAATCAGTCCAGTCCATCAGGGTCAGTCAGTCTAGTCCTTCAGGGTCTATCAAGGTCAGTCAGTCCAGTCCTTCAGGGTCAATCAGTCCAGTCCTTCAGGGTAAGTCTTAAGTCAATCAGTCAAGTCCTTTAGGATAAAGTCACTACCTTTGTTCGGACTCCGGAGTAAATGAGTGATGGTGGGATGCTAATGTTCAGAACGGCATTGTGAGCATCCTCTGCTTGTCGGCCAAGAGACGGTGTGTTGCTGACATTAACCTCCAAAAATAGTCTGTTAAGGTTGGCGTTGTAGTACAACACCTGACTGCCCTCCTGCCTGTAAACACACACAAATACACAAATCGCAGCATGAAAGCAGCAGCAGGAAGTCATTTGCAACACATTAGTTCAGAGCTGATATCGTGCAGGACTGCAGGAGTTACTGTTACCGTCAGAGATGCTTTAATGGTCCAAATCTCCAGTCAAGACCCAAGAACTTTAGGATGACTCAACGACTCAAACCCCAAGTAACGTCTCGCTTTCTTTAGGGGGAATCTGAGTCAAATCCAGAGTCCAGTCCCTGGTTCAAACTCCCAGGTTCAAGGGAAGAATCAAGTCCAAGTGTCAAGTGAAGTACTTAGGTCCTTTAGTCCATGTTACCTCCCAGATCTTCAAATCTACGTGAAGTCCTTTAAGGAGTTAAATCTCAAATAACGTTTCAAGTAAAGTCCCACGTCCTTTAGGGGAAGATTCAAGCCAGGTAGTCATGTCATAAAGGGCAAGTCCAAGTCACGTCCCAAGTCATTAAGAAGAATATTTTAGTCATCTTTATCCAATTTCTAAGAACATAAAGTCACATTCAATGCCTAGATCCTCAAGACAAGTGAAGTCCCAGGTCCTGTCAGGCAAGTCCAAGTCGTCTTTTAGGGTCAGAGTCAAGTCCAAAGTCCTTCAAGGCATGTCTGAGTCCAGTACCGTGTCCTTTAGGACGAGTTAGAAGTCAAGACTTCAGTCTTCATCTTTAAACTAAAACATTCAAACAGATCCTCCCAGAAGAGACGTCGAGTCTATCAGAGAGAATTACCCCGACGTCTCTGAATCTTCAACGCGTCGACTTCAAATGACGTTGGATTCAAGCGGATACTTTGGTCTCCAGTGGTTGGTTGATGAAAATCGATGTCACATGTATTTGATAGTATAAGCGTCATGGGTGTATGATATGGAATGAATCAGTCCAACATGTTCTGGGTTTTCCTCATAACTTTAGTCATCACAAAACTAATGTGTTCTAGCACAAAGACAGGAAGCAGTGAGGAGTTCACTCACACAGCGAAGGGGTTCTGGTTCTCATCCGTGAACTGGGCCGTCATCTGCAGATTACTATGGCAGCGGTTATCAGAACCACAGGCCTTCTGGATGTGGATCTGATGAGATGAGGAAACAGATGTTCAAACATTTCTGATGTCTTGACTTCTGAGGTGGGTTCTTTGTTCTTATTTCTGACATTCTGTGGTGGGTTCTAATGCAGGTTCAGTTGTTTTTTGTGTTCTATGCATTCTGACCTAAATTTAGTTTGGAAATGGTTTCTTCAGAGTTCTGACCTTGGGTCTGATTTTGATCTGGATTCTGCTAAAAGCTTTTTCTGATGGGTTCTGATCTAGGCTATGAAGAATTCTCTTTGGTTCTGACCTGGGTTCTGATGGGTCGGGGTGACTGGCTCAGTACTGGGAGGCGCTTCAGGTCCTGTACGGCGTTCTTTTTCTTGGGAAGCTTCTCGTACAGAGAGACGTTCAGGGAGAACACCAGAGGTTTCACTTTGTCTCGGATCGGACTCTGAAGAACATAATCACACGGAACAGAAGAACCTCAACAACACTTTCATATGAGGAGCTTTCTTTTTAGGGATAGTTTTCAGTCTCTGCTGTTAACGGCTTCAGTTCACTTTGAAGGTGAACAATGCGAGATTCAGAGCATATCTATTGCCTCCACGTGGCTCTCAACATGGCGACAACTGAGCCGGCGGCTAGTAGCTAAAAATGCTAACAGCGTTAACCTGAGGGGGTAAAAGCGTTTCAGCTGTAAGCGCTGTACGAGAGCAGAGCAATGAGCTAACCGGTGGGGCATGCTCACATGCACTAAAAGGGACTCACATGCACCAACATACTCTAAATGTCACGCGGTCGGCTGGCTCTGTGAACAAAGAGGTGAAGCTGTGACATCAAGAGAGACTTCATTCTCTGATCAGACTTTTCTCCTCTTATCTTTATACAGAAGATAGTTATTGATGAGTTATTAATGATGTGAATCTAAAATAGAGAACCCTTCACAGAATGTAAACATGACTAAACACTGACGGAGAAGATCGTCTCTGTAGGTTTCAGGTTTACATGAAGTGAAGGGATTTATAGTTAATGGAATAAAAGTGAGTCTCTAACATCATGTGAACATCTATCGTCCTGTATGAACCACAACACAATAAGAAGGACGTGAAGAAGTGACAGGATGGGTACATCCCAAGTCTCTTAATTGTCGTTTCCTCGATCCTCGATTGAACCGGAAGTTGTTCTGCTCCGCCATATTGACGGCCGTCCCAAAGCTCTTATTTAGCTCTGAGGAGCGAGGATCGAGGAGGGATCTCTGAGGAGCTATGAGTGAGGAACCACGAGAACAGACTTCAAGGAAGTCTTTTAATGGCCGACACGCCCCCTCATTGTTCATCAGTCATGTGATTGGACGCTGCAGCCGATCGGACTGACTGGCTGAGTTTAACACCAGAGTGAAGACGGATCACAGAATAAACTCTAGTTTATATTTGATTAGGTTTCTGATTCAACATCTGGTTTAATTAAATGTTCATTGTAGTCTGAACAACAAAAGGACCACAAACAACTTTCTTCATTTATTAGAAAGATTTGTGTTTTCATGATCTGATGTTTCCCTCAATAGCTTTATTATGGAAACAATTAAAGTCAGAGAGAGCTGGAGAGACTAAACACTTTTTACATCATTGATCATCATTTCATTCAGTCACGTGAGGCTGATCATTCCTGAGTGTTTGATGAGTTTTATCATTTAAGTTTAACCTGAAACATGGAGCCTAATAAAATAATTCCAGTGTTCAAGAGAAACCATAATCATATTCTGGGTTATTTAATAATGACGTCATAATCTGAATTTCAAAAATGTAAGACGCAAATAATTCATAAATAAGACGATCGCATTCCGCCGGTAGAAATGGATCCTGTGCTTATAAACAGAACACAGAACACAGTTTGTTAACAGACTACAGAGAGAAACACCTCTACAGTGGTGATTACTGTGTGTCTTTATTAGTTATTAGTATTATTAGTTACTGTTATTAAGTACAGTGATCATGTGAACAGACACTAACTTATCAAAAGTCTCTCCAGCTGTTAAAGCCGACTGACAGCTGTGATCATCTGATCCTCCGTCATCAGAAACAGACGTCGCTCACGTGACGCTTTAGAGGAAAGGACGTCTCATATCTCTTAAAACATATCTCCTCGTTTCTCTCTCCTCGCATGGTTTCCTTGCGTCTCTCCATGCATCCCTGGTAGCACCACTCTCAGGACAGATGTGGCAGCACTGAGCCCTGGAGCTTGTAGGGGGCGCTAACAGGGCGCTAACAGGACACTAACAGGGTGCTAACAGAGTGCTAACGGGACACTAACAGGGCGCTAACAGGGCACTAACAGGGTGCTGACAGGGCGCTAACGGGACACTAACAGGGCGCTAACAGGGCGCTAACATGGTGCTAACGGGACACTAACAGGGCGCTAACAGGGCACTAACAGGGCGCTAACAGGGCGCTAACAGGGCACTAACACGGTGCTAACAGGACACTAACAGGGTGCTAACAGGACACTAACAGGGTGCTAACAGGGCACTAACAAGGTGCTAACAGGGCACTAACGGGACACTAACGGGACATTAACAGGGTGCTAAACGGACACTAACAGGGTGCTAACAGGGCACTAACGGGACACTAACAGGGTGCTAACAGGACATTAACAGTGTGCTAACAGGGTGCTAACAAGGTGCTAACAAGGTGCTAACAGGGTGCTAATAGGGTGCTAACAGGGCGCTAACAGGGTGCTAACAGGGCGCTAACAAGGTGCTAACAGGACACTAACAGGGTGCTAACAGGGCACTAACAAGGTGCTAACAGGACACTAACAAGGTGCTAACAGGACACTAACAAGGTGCTAACAGGACACTAACAAGGTGCTAACAGGACACTAACAGGGCGCTAACAGGGCGCTAACAGGGCACTAACAAGGTGCTAACAGGACACTAACAAGGTGCTAACAGGACACTAACAGGGTGCTAACGGGGCACTAACAGGGTGCTAACAGGGCACTAACGGGACACTAACAGGGTGCTAACAGGGCACTAACGGGACACTAACAGGGTGCTAACAGGACACTAACAGGGCGCTAACAGGGCACTAACAAGGTGCTAACAGGACACTAACAGGGTGCTAACAGGGCACTAACGGGACGTTAACAGGGTGCTAAACGGACACTAACAGGGTGCTAACAGGGC